TATTATTGAGTTTTAAGAGCTCTTTATATGTTCTAGATACAAATTCTTTATCGCATAGATGATTTGCAGAGAATGTTTTCTATACGTGTCTTTTGATTTTTTATGGTGTCCTTTGAAATACAAAAATTTTTAATTTTGATGTCTAATATCATTTATTTTTGTTGTTTTTGTTGCTTTTGGTATTATATCTAAGAAGCCGTAGCCTAATCTGAGATAAGAGAGATTTACTCCTCTGCTTTCTGTTAATTAAGAGTTTTTATAGTTTAAGTTCTTTTATATTTAGGTCTTTGATTCTGAGTTAATTTTTGTATATTGTTAGAAGCAGAGTGCAGCCTTATTCTTTTGCACGTGAATGTCTACTTGTCCTAGCACCATGCAGAGATAAATGTGATATTTCAGTTTGGATGTTTACTGTAGGATTTTCTTCTGAAATCATATAATTCTCCTCTTTTCTTGGGAAGAAGAAATCAACAAAGCCTTCAAGGTGCTAAACGCTTTTGCATCCCCGTGTCTTCTCTGGGTCTCCAGTCTTCCCTTGTGGAGTGAGGCGCTGGCCTGGGGTCCAGGACACGAGGGAAGGCCTGCATGTTTCTGCTCCCTTCGGTGACAGGCCCCTTGCTGCCCCTCGTGATTTCCCAACTGCCCACCCTCTCCTTAGCCCTCAGGTCTGGCGCATCTGCTCTCTTTGCCGCAAACTTTTTGCCTGCTCCGCTTTTCTTAGGTATGGGGGTTAGTGATTTTTTTCTCAAGGACTCTTCCTTCTAAGAATGTATTTCTATATTCCCATGGCATGCTATTGTAGGAAATGTCACAGAATATTTTCAATGCCAGCTTATTTTTTGCTTTTATGAGTAACCTGTAAGGACCTTAATAGGTCGGACTGTGTTGTGCTTATCTTTGCCTGCCCAGTACCCTGTCATAGAGTTGGTATCTGTGACAAATGTTTGTTAAATTTTGCTGGAAAATTTTTGGATATAAAAGTAAGCATTTGATATCATTAAAATACTGTGCTTCAGGCACAGGAATGGAAGACTGAATAGGAAATGAATTGAATATTGAAAAATGACCCAATGTAATATTTTAATGTTTAAGACGATATCCTCAAACCAGTGGGGAAAAGCAGAGATTATTTAATAAATGGCATTGTAACAATTGTTTATTTTTTTTTTAAAGTTTCCTCCTAAATACTGTGTACTGAAATAAATTCTAGAAGGATTAAAAACTTAAGGTAAAAAAATGAAACTACAGAAGTATGAAACTAATATACTTAGAACTCACGAAAATCAGCAAGAAAAAATCAAATAAGCCTATTAAAAAGTGGGCAAAGGACTTGAACAGAAACTTTTCTAAAGAAGACAGAAGAATGGCCAACAAACATATGAAAAAATGCTCATCATCTCTAATCATCAGGGAAATGCAAATCAAAACTACAATGAGATATCACTTAACTCCAGTGAGAATGGCCTTTATCAAAAAGTCTCCAAATAACAAATGTCGGCGTGCATGCGGAGAGAGAGGAACACTCCTACACTGCTGGTGGGACTGCAAACTAGTTCAACCTCTGTGGAAAGCAATATAGAGACACCTTAAAGCGATACAAGTGAATCTACCATTTGATCCAGCAATCCCATTGCTGGGCATCTACCCAAATGATCCAATGACACTCTACAAAAAAGACACCTGCACTCGAATGTTTCTAGCAGCACAATTCATAATTGCAAGGCTGTGGAAACAGCCCAAGTGCCCATCAATCCAAGAATGGATTAATAAAATGTGGTATATGTATACCATGGAGTACTATTCAGCTCTAAGAAACAGCTCTAATGTGTGATATAGCACATCTTATATTTTCCTGGTTAGAGCTGGAACCCAAACTACTAAGTGAAGTATCCCAAGAATGGAAAAACAAGCACCAGATATATTCTCCAGCAAACTGGTATTAACTGAGCAGCACCTAAGTGGACACATAGGTACTACAGTAATAGGGTATTGGGCAGGGGGGAGGGGGGAGGGGGGCGGGTATGTATATACATAAGGAGTGAGATGTGCACCATCTGGGGGATGGTCATGCTGGAAACTCAGACTTGTGGGGGGGAGGGCATTTATTGAAGCCTTAAAATCTGTACCCCCATAATATGCCGAAATAAAATTAAAAAAAAAAAAAAAGAAGAAGTATGAAACTAGCCTGTAGTTGAATATTGATGCAGGCTCAGAAGAGGTGGGTCTTTTCAGGTATAGTCTGCAAAGTAGAACCATATATAAAGGATAAAAGAGTGATTAGCCTCCCATAACCAGGAAAACAGATTCGCCACCTGTATTAGTTTTCTCTTTCCACGCTAAAAAATTACCACAAACTTACTGGCTTACGACAAATTATCTCAGAGTTCTGGAGTTCAGAAGTCTCACGGGCTAAAATCAAGGTGTCGGCAGGGCCGGTTTCTCCTGGAGGCTCCAGGGGAGAACTCTTAGCTTGCTCTGTCCAGCTTCTAGCGGCTGCCTGCATTCCTTGGCTCCTGGTCCCTTTCTCAAACTTCAAAGTGTGCAGTGTTGCAGCTCTCTGACCTTCTGTAATGATCACATCTCCCTCTGATCATAGAAGAGAAAGTTCTCCACTTTTGAGTACTTGGGCCCACGTGGGTAACCCAGGATGATCTTCTTTCTCAAAGTTTGCATATTTAATCACATTTGCAAGCCCCTTTTGCCATGTAAGGTCACACATTCACAGGGTCTGGGCATTAGGACGTGGACAGCTTTGGTGGGGGTTGTTACTCTGCTGAACATACAGCCTGAATGACTAAGAAGGAATCTTCTGTTTACAAAACGCTTTTCACAAATCGATAAGAAAAGCGTGAACACAGCATTAGAAAATGGACAAAGGGTATGAGCAATTTGCAAAAAGAAGAGATGCAAATGAACAAAATTTAAAAAATACTGTTCAGCTTCACTATTGAACAAGAAGGCACACCGCCAACATTGAGACCCCTTTTCTTCTATGAAATTAGCAGCGATTTGTTATCTCTCATACATTGTTGGTGGGAACATGAGCTGCTACTCTTTGGCAGTAGGTACCAACAGCCTTTTAAAATGCATGCTTTATAGGCCAAACATTCCATTTCTAGGAATTTATCCTGAAGAGGTTATCATAGTTGTGTGAAAATATTTGTCTCCAAAGATGTTTATTGTCTTTTTTTGTAATCATAGACAATTTTAAATAAGCTAAATGTCTCAAAATCAGCATTGGTTAAACAAATTATGTTGTGGCTACATGGTGAGACAGTGTGACATTAGAAGTGATATTGTCCAGGGGATGACACAGGCCAGTGATGAGTTAACTGGTGCTCATTCCACTCTTATGGTTTTTGAAAATTTTTGAAATAATTATAGATTTACAAGGAGTTACAGAGAAATGTATAGGGAGATGTGTATACTCATTATTATGCTTTTAAATTTACATATGCTGCTCATACTCTTTTTATATATCAAACAATACATATAAGGTAAACAAATTGTTTAAGTAAATTGAAGAGCAACAAAGTAATGATATGGGGAAATAGTAATGACCTGTTACTAAGTAAAGAAGGTAGAATTTCATTCTTTTTTTATTTTTATTTATTATTTATTTTTTTAGAGATAGGGTCTCGTTTTGTTTCCCAGGCTGGGGTGCAGTGGCCTAATCATAGCTCACTGTAGCCTCCAGCTCCTGGGCTTGAGTGACCCTCCTACCTTAGCCTCCTGATTAGTTGGGACTGCAGGCACGCACTGCCATGCTCAGCTAGTTTTCCTATTTTTTGTAGAAATGAGGTCTCGCTATGATGCTCAGGTTGGTCTTAAACCCCTGTGCTCAAGTGATCCTCCCACCTCAGCCTCCCAAAGTGCTGGGCTTACAGGCGTGAGCCACCACGCCTGGCTTTATTCATGTCTAAAAATGAAAACATTTATGTCTATATCTAAACACCTCTATCTGTGTTTATCTTTACATATAGACCCTCCCCTCCCCGCCCCCACTAAGGTACTGGTTCAAATTGTTAACAGCGGTTATCTCTCCTGAGCGCACTGTGACAGGCAGTTAGGATGTCTGACAGTAGTGGCTTCAACAAGCAGGGATTTAGTTCATGTACCTGAGAGCTGTCCAGGGTTGCTGGCAGCTCCGCAGAGCCATCACAGACCCATGCTCTTTCCCTTCTTTCTGTCCTGCACCCTTTATGGCTGGCTTTAACTCTCATGCAAGATGGCCAAGGTACTCAGGCGTCACCTCTGTGTTCAGGCCCAGAAGAACAGGGAGAAGCTAAGGGCCAAAGGGGTGCTAGCTAAGCCTGCCTTCTTTTGTTAAGAAAGTAAAGTCCCCATTTATTTCTCACTGCCCTGTGCTGTGCCATGTGGCCTGGCCGGCTGAGACCAGTCAAGGGGAAAGGGGTTCTGGGTAGAGGTTGCTCAACTGACCATGGTGTCTGCTACATGGGGTATTCTGTTTCCAACTATTTTCCGAATTTACTAGGATAAACAAGACTTTTATAATAAAACCATTAAATTGAAAAAAATTACATGAATCTTCTTTTGTAATTCTGCGTTTGATCGATGGACATAATGATACCAGGTGAGAATTCACAGATGGGTGTTTCATCATCAGATTTTAGTCTGTCTGTGAAATGCAGTCCACGAGCAGAGGTTGCAGTCACTTCACTGTGCTCCCAGAAGCCCTGGTCACTGGGGGGGGGTGCCGGAGAGTCTGGGTGCTTATGGGGCAGGGCCCCCTGCTCTGAGGCCCGTTCTCAGCGAGGGCCTGAATGCCCTGCTTGTGTGTGGGCCGTGGGCTTGTGGGTGCCATTTATCCCCTCGCCCCTGGGCCCCCAGGAACCTGCAGTGGCCAGAGGGGATCTGCAGCAGGGACAGAGCTGCTTCCCTGAGTTGGGTGGGTTATTGGCCTGGTGGTTGGCTGAACTGGTGAGGGCTCTTGGGAGGCTGAAGAAAAGCTCATTTGTTCCCCTTTTCTTTCTCGCTAGCATCCAGCACGTGTATGGAGCCCAGCACCCGCCCTTTGATCCGCTGTTACATGGCGCGTAAGTGAAGTCTTCGCCTCACCTGGCTTCTTAGCCCTGATCTCAGGAGGGTGGTGGCGACCACTGTCTTCCTGCTTCACGCCAGCTCCCTGGCATTCCCAGGGGAGGAAGTGGTTTCTTATTCAGCAAACACCGATCACACAGTTGCTTTGTGTGAGACACTGCTTGCCCTGTATAGCTCATCTCCGGTGGGGGCGGCGGACATGGGGGCCATAGCTCCATAGAGCCACCCAGGAGAGCCAGGAGCTGGCACCCCTTAGCCAGGGGCAGCATGTCTGTTCATGGCGGCTCCCTGTCTCCCTTCCTGTCTCGTGCCTTCTCCACCTGTCCGTTGAGGCTTGCTCTGCTGTGTGTCCCGGGCCCCTCCACCAGGGCAGGAGGGAGTGGCAGGTGTGGGACTTGGCCTTGTGCTGGTGTGGCCCTGCAGGACCGTGCCTGTCTGACAGGTTTCCTGATGTGAGGTGGGGCCGATATTGTATGTTGTCATATTTTGGGGGACTCTCATGTAAATTATACTGTCTCCAAAGCCATACCGCAAAGGCCTGCGTTCTCTGCGCAGTCTCTCTGGCCTGCACCCCTCAGCTGCTGCTGTGGGAGCTTTGCTGAGATACCAGGAACATGAGGATGTGTGTGAAGGCTCTGGCCGAGTGACATGGGGTGTAGGTCGGTGCGCTGTCACTGTACAGGACAGTGCCTCCTCGTCGGTTGGCCCTGTCAGGTGGCAGAGGCTGCTCAGCGGGACTGTCCCTGGAGACCCCTTTTCTGTAGCTGGATCCTCACGAGCTTTGCCTGCTCTCGTGTTGGCTGTCTGTATAAACAGCCTTTGCTGTTTCACTTCACTACGAGCTAGATTGAGGCTGAAAACTTTCAAGTGTGTCTTTGTGTCTGGGATTGTTTTCTGGGCAGTTTCGGGGTAAAGGCCGAAGGCTCCCAGCATGTACGAGTAGAGACCGCTTTGTGTTACAGCTTGCTCAAGGCCGCGCCCAAGGTGCCAACCACGCCGGTGCGGGCCAAGAGGGTCAGCACCTTCCAGGAGTTTGAGAGCAATACCAGTGACGCCTGGGACGCCGGGGAGGATGACGACGAGCTCCTGGCCATGGCGGCGGAGAGCCTCAACACCGAGGTGGTCATGGAGACGGCCCACCGGGTGCTGCGCGACCACAGCCAGCGGCGGGGGCAGCCGGCACTGCAGGAGGCCCCGGGGCCGGAGCAGAGGCTGAAGCCTGAGGCAGAGCCGCCTTCGGCCCCAGGTGACCTGCGGCTGGTGAAGTCTGTCAGCGAGAGCCACACATCCCGTCCCGCAGGTGGGCTGGGCAGGGCTGAAGAGACGATGCGTGTTTCCAGCAGGGCCGGGAGGGGTCAGCCTCACTGCTCTGACTCACCGACAGTGTGTGGGTGAGGGCGCCCCGACCAGACTGCGCCCCTGCCCACCCTGCTCTCACGACCACCCATGTTCCAACCCCACGGCCCGCTTCTACTTTGACCCAGGCACTTGCTACCTTCTAGCACACTGCATGCCCCTTACTGGTTGTATGTAGTTTAGCATTGCACCTTTACCAGAAAGACTTTCCACAGGGCACAGACTTACATCCGGTTTGTCCATGGGCTGTACCAATGCTGTAAACGGTGCCCGGCCCACAGCACACACTCATTAAAAGACCACGTGGCTTCCATCACAGACACAATGTGCCTCCGATGCACAAAGAGCGGACGTCACAAAAACACTCTGAGGAGCAGCTGCTGAGCACCTGCGCAGTGGATATGAAACACAGGCATAATCCCACCCTTGAGGGGGTTATAACATGAATGTGGCAATTCCAAAGCCAGACTCCCACCCCGACAGACCCATGTGAGCCCGTGTGGTACACATCCCTGGCAGGAATCACCGAAGCTGCCTGCAGAGGTCCAGCCCTCCTCAGCTAGCAGTGTCACCCCTGAAGCCACCAGCTGCACTAAAAGCTGGTGCGCTTAGGAGGGAGGCAGGGCCTTCTGAGCCCTTGTGCGCCTCCAAGGCCCTCTCACAGCCAGCCACGAAAGCCACATGTCCTGCATGCCATTTGGAGAGAGGCCTTTGGAGGAGGCCAGCTGGTGCAGCCACGGACCTCATTAATACCCCCCTCCAAGGCCTCCCAGTGGCCAGGGTGCGTCCCTGTGTTTGCAGATGAGAAGACGATCATTACAGTAGTTTCCTTGTGTGGACAGTTGTTGAGTTTGGTGTTTGTAGGGAGGGATGACTGCTGGAGGTTTCTATTCACCATTTTGCTCTGCACCCCTAGGTCTAGGTTTTAAAAACACTTTCTAGGAATTGATTAACTTCTAAAATGTTACAGTTCTCATTAGGTGAGAATGCTATGAATTATTCCATTTGATCAATTTTCATTTTGGAATCTAGTAAATTTTAAAGATTTTGAACTTGCAAATGAAAATCTAGTGATGGCTTTTGCAAGAAGCTTCACAGTCTGGTGACTGATTAACGTGCACACCAACTGCCTGGCAGGCCCGGTCCTGGGCATTGTGTCCTTGCTGTGGCAGGCTCAGCGTTGGCAGGAACCCTGGGCTCATCTGCTCGTGGGCGGTGCTGCTGTTAATGCTGTGATTTGTTGCCAGCAGGGGTCCTCAGCACCCCCAGACGCAGTGGGCTCGTCTAGTCAGGACCGTGTGGTGTGTGGTTGGGGGTCCCTGACCAGCAAGCAAAGCTCAAGCTGCACCCAGCCAAGGTGGGGGAGCCGTGGGATGTCACCCTGGGATGACTTATCCTGTAAGAGCAAATCAAAGGCTGCTCCAGGCAGCTTGTGGCTGGGTGATGGGGTACCCCTGGCTTTGTGGCCTGTGACTGCCTTGGGGTCGGCCATCTTTCTTGTGTTTGCTTTCTAGGCATGCCTTTGTGAGCCCTTCAATATGATAATAATGATAGCATTTATTGATCATTTACTGTGTGACAAGTACCATAGCAAGCCCTCATGATAGTAAGTTCATTAAGCCTCACAGTAACACTAGGGCATAAGACCTGCTGTCATTCCTATTTCACAGTGGGGTATGTGGGGGTCAGCAGCTTGCCCAGAGCTGCACACTGACCTGTGGGCTAGGGCTCCAACCTGGGCATCTGACTCCTGAGTTCCCACTGCTAGCCACAGGCTTTCCTGGCAGAGCAGGGGATGTGGGGCAATATCTTGGGGCAGTTTTGGTTGTTGCAGCTGAGGCAGGGCATTGTGTCACTGGCAGGTAGTAGGTGACATCCCACAGTGCACAGGACAGCCGCCACCCCCAACAGAGACTGATCCAGCTCCAAATGTCCATGGGCCAGGGCTGAGAAGCCCTGGTCTGGAGTCCACCGCGCCCCTTCCAAAGTGCACTGAGCAGGTTGGTGACTGGGTGGCAGGTGTGTGTGGTGCGGAAGGGAGTTGGGGATATCTCAGTTCCCTGGGCTGTGGCTGCCTGTTAGTTGTCAGACCATTTGCTTGGCAGTGGCATGCAGATGGGCACATCTCTGTTCGTGTTCTTAGGGACCTGAGGTTGTGGCATGGGAGGCTCACCGGCAGTCTGGTGGGGAGACACAAGCACGTGAATGGACAGGGGACAGAGTTTCCATTTTGTCTTATTAAGGAGGGGAGATGTTGTGGGGCTTCCTGGGTCCATCATCTGATCTGTCTCCTGAGGGGCAGGGGCTGTGTCTGCACGCCTCCTTTGCATGTTTTGCAGACTCCTTAAAGGCAGGGGCCATGTCCCATTTGTCTTTGTTTCTCCTTGGTATCCTATGTCTGTGGTCTCCTTGGTGTCCCATAAATGCTGTTGAAGTAAATGCAGTTTTGCTCATGGCCGCGTGCCATGTGGCTTTTCCCTCGCCCCACCCCTGCAGCACCCTCCTGCCCTCCCTGCTCAGGGTGAGGGCCTTGCCGCTCAGGTGACTAAGCTGTGAGTTCCATTTTCCTTTGCTGCTCGTACGAGCAGTGGTTTGCGGTTCTAAGCACTGTAGGGTGTGCTGTCTCGTGGGGCACAGCGTGGCCCTGCTGCATGGGTGTGCCCTGTGTTTACGTTCCTTGTCACACTTATGCCTCTCCCTTCACGGTGCACATGTCATCCTGAGAGTGCCTGCAGCCTGCCTGCTGTGGTCAGCCTTGGCCTTCAGCCCAGGATAGGTGGCTGTGCTGACAATTCAGTGGTAGGGCAGTCAGGTGGCTTTTGCCCAGCCTTCCCTATGCCTGTTTTCACCTTTTGGCTATCCTGACTTCCTTAAAATGCCTCAAAAATCTGACCTTATAGCTGAGGTGAGATGCACTTTGCTTATTTAGTGACACTTGGGTTAATAGCAAAAGCATGTCTTCAGCTGGAATGCTCTGGAAGGCCTGCTCAGTGGGCAGTGGGCCGGACGAGGGCTGTCCCTGTAGCTTATTGTGAGGGGGCTGCAAGTGGTGTCTTGTGTGGACACCAGCTGGTGGCGGTTATGACCCTGGGGTAGGATGTTGACGTGCTTCCCGTTCATGGTAACACAGAGGCCTGGTGGTTAATCTTACTGTTTCCTCAGGGGATGTCTCTGTCACTTTACGTTCAAAATTCCTGTCCCATGTTAGAATGGGGGCCAGACGTGGGCAGGCCCTTAGGTGTCTTGATGAAGTTTATACATCAGTCATCTCTTAAGATCACGGGTAAATAAAGTTGAGTACCTTTAATTCTGAGACACAGTATGTAGCTGTTCTTTCTGCTGAATCTTTTTTTTTTCTTTTTAATTGACAGTGTCACTCTGTCATGCAGGCTGGAGTACAGTGGTATCATCATAGCTCACTGTAATCTTGAATTTCTGGGCTTAAGCGATTCTCCTGCCTCAGCCTCTCAAGGAGCTGGGACTGTAGGCACATGCCACCACATCTGGCTAATTTTTAAATTTTTTTATAGAGACGAGGCCTTGCTATAAGTTGCCCAGGCTGGTCTTGAACTCCTGGGCTCAAGTGATCCTTCCACCTGGGCCTCGCAGAGTGCTGGGATTATAGGTGCAAGTTACCATACCCGGACTGTTTTTTCTATAGAATCCCAAGTGCAACTGAAATGATAGATTCTGGAGGAGGGAAGGAGGAGCCCTGAGCATCACCACCCAAGGTGTCCCTTATTCAGGCATTGCTTCTCAAGCCTCTGAATTGAGGCCGCTGGGGAGGAGGATTCTCTGGACGCTGCTCCGTGGGGAAGAGCACAGATCATCAGGGGAGGGGAGATGGGGCAGTGTCCTGAAGTCTGTGCCCCAACTTTAGCAGACTTTTCTGGAAATTTAACTGGGCCAGGTTCTGCCCAGAGGCCACAAGTTCAGGTTGCCTTGCTCCAGTATAGCCTGAGGGTTTCTGTGTGAATCCACCCCCTGTACCCAGACTGCGGAGGAGGAAATGGGCTCGTCTGTGGACAGGAGGGAGCTGGGGGAGTGATGCTGTCACCCCAGCTCAGCCACAACTGCCAGTAGGGGACATCAGCATGTTGATTCTGCAGCATTTGTTCTTGCTGTTTCCTGGAGTTTTTTTTACTCTACTTTAATTTTCAGTTTTTGAAAGATGAGATCACCGGGTGGAATTTAGACCTAGTTCCAAGCCTTTCAGAGCTTCTTCCTTGTTGGTCCTGGGTGACTCTTGTTGAGTAGCCAGAGGGCCTTCGGATCTTACCTTTGGATGTCCCCAGTCCTGGGTGCTGGGTGTGATGTGGTTTTCAGGGGTCAGTGGGGCCTTTGTGTGCAGCAGCAGAAGGGGCACTGGGCAAGGGGCGGGCAAGCTTGCACTCTGATGACCCCTTGGTCACTGCCTGCCATGGGGTCAGGGTAGGTGCGGTTCCTCACATGCTTGGCTTCCTTTGTTTCCTTGGGATGGCAGTCCCTGCCTGACCCCCTTCCCACGACTGTGGTGAGATCAAGGGAGGGTCCGGCTGGTGGTGGGTTCAGACGTGCTCTGGAGCAGCAGGTGGGTGCTCTTACAGCATCCTGGTTCCTGGTGTGTCCTTGCCTTTGTCTCCTGTCCGAGGTGCCTCTGCAGACTTCACCTTTCCCTTGCAGTGACTTGTCCTCCAAGCTAAGGCCTGGGTAACCCCAAAAGATCCCTGGACAGATCCTCTGGGTCATGGTACCTGGGCAGGCTCCTATCTGCAGTTCCAGGCACCAGTGGGAACATGACCACTGGCACAGCTGAGGTTGTCTGGAGTTTTCCAAGCCTGTCATTGTCTTGCTTTGATGGGGGTGTGTCTATTTTATTGATGAATAATACTCTGCCAGTGAGGCAGGTGAATTTCAGAAGTGTCAGTTCCATTTTATTGCTCAAGAAACCAAGGTCCCACTGCTCTGTGATGGGAGGAAGGGATAGTTGCGACCCGACAACATTCACAAAGGGACAGTGGCATGGCAGGTGTGAGGCCATCCTGATGCAGGAAGAACGTGTGGTCAGGAGGCACACCCTCACCCCTGTTCTCTCACCCCTGCAGAAAGTGCCGGTGATGCTGTCCCTCTGCAGAGGTCCCAGTCTCTTCCACATTCGGCCACCGTCGCACTGGGTGGGACGTCCGACCCGAGCACCCTCAGCAGCTCAGCGCTGAGTAAGAGAGAGGCCTCCCGGCTCGACAAGTTCCAGCAGCTGCTTGCCGGCCCCAACACAGACCTCGGTAAGTTCCCTGCAGGTTGGAGGACTCAAGCACTTGAGTTGTTGTGATCTGAAATCGGTCCTGTCATGAAGGACACAGCGTGTAGTTGTATAATGCACATGCCTCCGTGTGCAGTTTACCTTGTAAGAAGTTGATGTGTTGGTATTTTCATACCAGTAAAGTCACTAAAGCATTAGTAGTTTTTGCTGATAGTTTCCTTTAGGCATGTTTTGTTAATGTGTTTCCAGTGTAGTTAATGTGTTTTCTGTCTGTTTTTCTTAATGCCCCAATCGCACTCTTTCTTATCGCTGCCCCTGGTGAGCACTTTGAGGCCAGCCATGTGGATGTCCTAGTTCTTCATAGTGTCCTGGAGACAGAGGCTCATGGGGGCACAGGGCTGGTGACTGCCCTCTGGACCTGCTGATGTTGCACTTTCCTGCCATGGGGCTGAGGTCAGCAGAGGGTGACAGGCGTTGGGCACTGCAAGAGGGCCAGCGTGATTGTTCCCAGGCGGGCTGCTTCCAGACACACGCAGTGCCAGTGTGGATGTGCCGAGGGCAGGCTCTGAGGAATACACTTGCTTTCAAGTCCCTCTAATGGAGTTCCCACTTGAATCCATGTTCTTCCATTTATGTTTCTCATCTTTGTTGTGGGCCACTCTGTGATAGGTGTTTGCTAGATGCTGGAGCTCTCAGGAGGATCAGGATGTAGCCTTGGCATGAGATCACTCATAGCTGGGGGGACAAAGTGTAAACGGACAGTTACGGTCCTGCCAGGTGTTCTGAGGGCTGGAGAGCCGGAGGTGCAACGCCCGGCTCGGCCAGCAGGTGGCGAGCGAGGCACGTGGATGGGCTGCTCCGAGCCCTGCAGGAGCCCTGCCTTTGTGCAGAGGCCAGGGAGGAGGGAGAGGGTTTCTGCGGGAAGCAGGGGTTCAAGGGGCATGGCTGAAGCAATGTGCCCCAGCTGTGGAGGGAGGCTCTGGAACGCTCTCCCTGCCAGCAGGACACAGCTGTAGTTCTGAGTGTAGTTCTCAGGGTGGGTTGTTTCTTCTTCACCATTCTGTTTATTTTTTGAATTAGTGACACTTGCATATGTTACAACATTACAAAGCACAACGGAGTGTACAGTGACAACAGTCCCTTTCCCCACCCTCCCTCAGCACTCCCACCCTTTTCACTATTCCCAGTTTCTCTTCCAGGGGTGGCCTATGCACATATTGCTTTATACATTTTATTTTGATATATTGTCTAACTTACAGAAAAGTTGCGAGAATAGTACAAGCAACTCCCATGTGCTCTTTACCCAGATTCACCAGTTGTTTACATATGCCCCATTACTGTTCCGTGTATTTGTGTGTGTGTGTGTGTGTGTGTGTATGTATATGTATTCTTTCCTGAACTATTTGAGAATCAATTGCACATATCACATCCCTTTGCTCCTAAAAGCTTCCCTGTGTATTTCCTAAAAGCAAAGACATTCTCTCAATATTATCATAGTACAGTTGTCAAATCAGGAAATTTAATATTGATACATGCTGTTTTAATACCCAATATTATAATCCACAGCCTATATTCATATTTGCCAATTGTTCTAATAATGTTCGTTTGTTCTTTTCTCCTCTCCTCTCCTCTCCTCTCCTCTCCTCTCCTCTCCTCTCCTCTCCTCTCCTCTCCTCTCCTCTCCTTTTTCCTTTTTCCTTTTTCCTTTCCTTTCCTTTTTCCTTTCCCTTTTCCTTTCCTCTTTCCTTTCCCCTTTCCTTTCCCCTTTCCTTTCCCCTTTCCTTTCCCCTTTCCTTTCCCCTTTCCTTTCCTTCCCTCCCCTTCCTTCCCCTCCCTCCCCTCCCCTCCTTTCCATCAGAGCCTCACTTTGTCACCCAGGCTAGAGTTCCATGGCGTCAGCCTAGCTCACAGCAACCTCAAACTCCTGGGCTCAAGCGATCCTACTGCCTCAGCCTTCCGAGTAGCAGGGACTATAGGCACGCGCCACCATGCCTGGCTAATTTTTTCTATATATTTTTAGTTGGTCAATTAATTTTCTATCTTTAGTAGAGATGGGGTCTCACTCTTGCACAAGTTGGTTTTGAACTCCTGACCTTGAGTGATCCGCCTGCCTCAGCCTCCCAGAGTGCTAGAATTACAGGTGTGAGCCACTGTGCCTGGCCTGATAATGATCTTTCTATTTATTTTTTCCTGTTCCAGAATCCAGTAGGGGACCATGCATCCTATTCAGTTGTCATGCGTCTGTCATGTCCATTAACCTGGAACAGTGACTCAGCCTTTCTCTGTTTTTTTTTTCCATCTTGACATTTTTGAAGAGTGCAAGCCAGTCATTTCATAGAATGTCCCTTGGTTTTGCATTTTTCTGATGTTTCCTCATAATGAGATTTGGGTTAATAACTTTTGGCAGGAAATCACTTGAGAGATTTGTATTCTTGATCACCGTAGCAGGAGACACATGATGTTGGTTTGTCCTAATATTGGTAATGTTGACTCTGATCACTTGCCTAAGGTGGTATTTGCTTGTTCTCTCCACTGAAATGCCACTCTGTTTCTTTTGGTAATTAAGAAGTGATTTGTAGAGAGATACTTGGAGTCTATGCATTTATACAGTAACAGTATATTTTCTTTCTGCACGGGAGTGGTAACTGTTTTGCACCTCACCCCTTTAAGTTGAACTATGTGTTTTTCCGTAAGAGCGCATAGAGAAGTCCTTAGTCTCTCCAGCGCTCTGCAGTGTGCCTGTGGGTGCCCCACAATTGCCTTCACCAGCCCCCTGCTGATGGGCATGTAGGTTATTCCTAATTTTCTGTTATTACAAACAACTTGAGAACCTTTCTTCCGGCGTCTGCACCTCATCCTGCGATGACAACTTCATAGAGCATCCCTGGATATAGGAGGGGAGGGAGGGCAGAGAGGAAGATGGTTTTGACTTGAGAACTGGGTGGGTGAAAGTCTCATCCACCAGGACAGGAAATAAAGGTGGCCCGTGCTTAAAGGAGCATTGTCTCGCGGTTTAAGCATGCGTCTTAGCCACTTCCTTTTCTAGCATGCCAGTGCACGTCCTGCTGGATCTGGGTACCGCCAGGGTAGTGTAGGGATGCAAAGCCACCCCGTGCCTGTGAGAGCTGGTTCTAGAGTCGAGCTGCCTGAGTGGAGAGCTGGCTCCGGTGATCACTTGCTCTGTGACCTTGATCGAGCTTGGTGACGCCCCTGTGCGTGTGTCCTTGTTAGTGTGAGGCGTGGTGAAAGCAGGGCTAATTCTGCAGGTTACATGAGATAGAACATGCAGTTGCTTGTGAGAGTGCCTAGCATATCATAAGCACTTAAAAATGTTAGTTATTTTTTATTGTTGTTATTATATTCATTTGTATTGACCTGCTTATACACTACCTTGATATTTATCAGTATAATATTGACAAAATGGTCACTTTTGTTGTCGTTGACAAGTCGTAGTGGTTTATAGATCTGTTCTCTTGGCTGTGTCCCGTGGTTTCCCGCAGTGGGCAGGTGGCAAGAAGAGGGGTGGGAATAGAAGGCTGCCTGGCAGGGTCAGGCCCTGAGCAAGCACCCAGCTGGGGCCTGTGGACTTTGTCACTGAAACAACTTTCAGAAATTAAAATCATACTTACTAGTAAAGCTTTCAAGACTTGTGGGAAAATGTGAGTGTGTATGGATAGCTTGAAAGGTTAGCATGTAAAAATCAAATTCTTGTGTTAGGTTGATGGGATTATGGTTTTTTTTCTTTCTTTCTTTAGAATTCTATTTAAATATCAAATCTAAAACCAAAAAGCTAAAACTAGAGCTTTCAAAGTTAAACAATTACCGGATTTGTATTTAGCGGCAAGAGAAAAGATAGCCAGTAAATTGCCCGTTTTTATAAGGCAGTTAAGATAGCTTCTGAAGACAGCAGAATATACTGTCTTCACATTACATAAAAGACGTTAGTGGCAAATATTTGCCAATGTTGGAGGAGCAAATCACTGATGTGAGAAGCGCCCACAGAAATGATTCTACCTGCTGAATATCATTTCGTCCGGCAGACTGCTTGTTTTTCTTTGTTTAGCTTATGCTCTGTTATGAGCCTGGGGATGAAAGTAGCAAATAGAACTTAACAGCTCATTCTACTCTTAGCATTGGCTCAATATTTACTCACACAAAGACTGCCTGCTTTGAAGCCTGAGATAATGACACTCATGTTTATCACGTGTGGCTGGTGAACGGTAGTATGATTCGTCAGTATGCAAAACATGCAGTTTCCTGAGGACGGCTGAGTGCCTGCCGCACAGCAGTGGGGCCTCAGAGGGCATACTGTGTGTGACGCGCAGCTCCAGTGCTTAAGAGCTTTCAAGGCGTAGAACAAAAGCCATTACCCTTCCTTCAAGGAGTGTGGCCAGGCGCATAGTCACGTTCCTGTTCTCCTGAGTGAGCATCCGGTCTGGGCTTTCAGATCGAGAGCATTCTTAAATAGATGGAGGACGAGAGGAGAGGCTTTTTGAGTGGTGGTTGGGGAGACGAAGGCACAACCAAAAGTACGGAGCTGTACGTCCAGGAAGCAGGAGGAGGAGGGCCATGTGAGGAGACGGCCCTCAGTGCCCGCGGCTGGAGGGCAGCCCTGCAGGGGCCCAGGCCCTTGACGGCAGGAGGAGGCAGGTGCCGCCTGGGAGTTGGTCCTCAGGCTGGTTTCTGGCCGTGCCCTCACTCACTGTGTGACCTATCTTGTCAGCTGTAAAGGGGAAGTTAGGCGTACTTGCAGGGTCCTCGTGAAGGTAGTAGGTGATTTATATAAAGCTCATTTGTTCAGCCAGCATCTGTTGCGCACCTGCTGTGGTTGTGGGCACCAGGGAGAAATGGGGAGCCAGGCCCTCGAGGAGCTGCCGTTCTTGCGTGCGGAGGCAGACAGGCAGGCACACTCCCTCAGAACTCTCGAATCCACGGGAAGGCTGTGCGTCTATGGGGAATAAAACGGTGCTGAGGGAGGGAGGAGACTGGGTGCTGCTTTAGAGTGGGTGGTCGGCAAAGATA